TAGCCAAACTGGTTAAGAAATAAAGCACTGTAGCACTGTATCGATACTTTTAAAAACGAGTATTGTATCCGGATACAACATTTTGGTATCAATACTTTTTTGAGTCTCGATACTTTTGACAACCCTAATGGGTGCACACCATTAAAAGGGATCAACTGTTGCATAGCTGTGCAAATGCATTTTCCAGTAAAAGTCATTTTTGCATTTCAATTGAAGTCGCAGAGTCTATAGGAAACACAGAATCAAAATAGCTGGAGGAAGGTGTGAAGTTTCCTGTCAGTGATGTCTTGGAGGGTCATGGCATCTGCTGGTGTTGGTCCCATTTACATTATCATGTCTAAGTTTAGTACAGTCTTGTACAAGGAAATATTAGAGCTCACCATGTTTCCCTCTGCTTGCTATATGGAGAAGCTAGGTTTATTTTCCAGCTGGACTTAGGATCTGCCTACACTGCCAAAAGTACCACTGCAGGCTTTGATCACTTCAGTGTCACTATTCTGTGGGCAGCCTGACTTAACTAAGTCCCCACTGAGAATATATGAAGTATGGCCCAGAAGAAATTATGATTAGCCAGAAGCAGCAAAGCAGAGGAGCTGAAGATCACCACGAACTGAGCTTCCTCAGAGCATTAGGCTAAACCCATCCACGCCATGCTGCATTAATGAAGTATATAATGCAGATCAACTCTGATACTGAGGACATATAGCTACTTATGTGTACTAAGATTCTGTATAAGAAATGCTCATATATTGATTTTTTTCTCCCCAATTTTAATTAGATTTAAGAACTTATTGTCAGAACAGAAGTATATTTTCTTGTCATATATTAATTTAAATGTAAGTAATCTATACATAGCATTCTTTTTAAATCAAAGTAAATGCATTGTCTTTTTTGAAATATTCCTTCAAGGATCCAATGCTTGTTGACTGGAGGGTGGGGATTCGCTGTCTTGTACCTTTTTTTTTAAAGCAGGTTTGTTTTCTTTAATGCCACCAAGTTTGCTTTATTTTTTATTACTTTATTTGCCATGTTTAAATACTTTACTTTCTAATTGTATTTGTTGTATTTTACTGTAATATTTATTAATTTTAATCATTCACCTTATCCAATCTGTAATGGTATTTTAAATACTGCATGCTGAGGGGGTCACTGACATTTTATTCATGTGTTAAACAAGTGAGATTTATTATCCCAAATGTTGCAAAAAAGGCTGCAAAAGAGTTTAACACCCATCTTATGGTGCATAATACTATGCATCTAATTAATTTAACTGGAGCACATTAACCAGTCCTGAACCAGTTTAACTGTTTGTTTGTTTTTTTTTTTAGCTTTTTTTTTAGTATTGCAGCTCAGAATTTGACTTTAGACTTCCACCCATCTTCTCCTGCTTAATCCTTATCAGGGTCTAGGTGGGGCCAGTACCTATCTCCAGCAGTCAAGTTTCCAGTTCCAGTCAGGGTACACCCTGGACAGGTTGCCATTCTGTCGCAGTGCAAGACAGAGACACACAACATTTAAACACACACATACACACACTCACACCTAAGGAAAATTTAAAGAAACCAGTTAACCTAATAGTCATATTTTTGGACTGTGGGAGGAAGCTGGAGTACCTGGAGAGAACCCACGCATGCACAGAGAGAACATGCAAATGCTATGCAGAAAGACTCCAGGGCAGGAATCAAACCCAGAACCTTCTTGCTGCAAGGCATCAGGGCTACCCACTGCTTTACTGTGCAGCTCCTGACTTAAACTTGACTTGGTTATATATAAAAAAGTCTTGAGATTTAACTTGGACATGGGCAGCTTGAAATAAAATTTTCAGGCTGCTTATTATGGTTTGTTAATCATTTAAAATGTACAGTAAATTTCATTTGACTTGATAGTATCCATATAACATCATTATATCTTGCATTTTATCCTTTCAAAGGGCTCATTAAATAGTGCCTTCACACATGGGTTGTATATATTGCAGTGCGGTAAATCTAATCTTCACAATTGTTGAGCAATTGGAGAGAAGAAGCGAACAATCTAAGCAGAAATTCCTCAAATGGTTATCAAATATAGACCTTTGAAATTATCACCATTTATATCACCATTAATGAAAATAGTGTTTAATTCACTGTCCTGTATAAAAACTCTAATATGGGCCAGTCTATTGATCTACTCAAACTCATTTTCAGAGCACTCGTAAGTGGTGTAATTGGTCAGTTGGGGGATTTTTCTGTTTCCAAAACAAAACTCAAGACCAATGACCCAGTCAACATTCAGCCTGACTAGTTTGATTAGTTGTTCAAACTTCTTATAACATAGCACAGCCACACCAGCAAGAATTCTGCCACCAGGTGTGAAGGCACAAAAGTCAATGGTGGATTCTCCTGCTCCATAAAAGTCTTTATGAATGGAGTTCAGCCTTTCCAAATCCTGCTTTGATATAACTGCTTCCTACATTCACAATAAATTGCAGCCTTCCAAAAGCTTGTTGACAACAAGGCAGGAATCCATACCAGCTTCATCGTGCCCAACGTCTATTCCCTTATGTTATATGAGCAGATATTAAGGTTCATGATGACTAATTACATTTATTAAGGCTGTTTGCCTCGACAATTGCCTTGGGAGTCATGTCCAGAGCAGGTATAGTATTAAGTAGAGCTGCATTGAGCCTCCACTTTTGTTCTGGTATTAATCATGCTCACTTTTGGCTTGTGAGCCTCATAATATCTGAGGACATAAGTTCTTGCTGTTGTGAGTTGTGCATCAGAAAGCTTGGTTAATTAATCACACTTGCATATCACATGAAACAAGCCAAATGTTTTCGGCTTAAGGCTATTTTCTTGCAAGAAAATGGTTTTCACAATTTCTAAGAGAGGTAGGTGCACAGGTTATTTGCTTCTAACTCTCGAGAAAATCTATTAGTAAACACAGGTTCCAGTTTGTTTTTGTGCAGCGGTATGTCTCCAATACAATACAAATCCCATTTTCCTTTGCTCCTTCTTTGGACAACTTAGTGCAGTGCCACATTGTTGATATTGCTTTATCTGTCCATTTCTGTCTCAGTAGTGCTTCACAACGTAGAACATTGCCTGCCATTTACATCCTTGCACAGTCAGCTAACAAAAATGACTGACTTCTGTGAATCAAGAGCAGGGGCTTTTAACTTTTGAATCCATATGAAGGACACGCTAATAGCAAAGTGCTATTGCCATGTGGTACATTGCACTTGCAGTATTTCCAAGGCACGATTCAGAGTTCTATAGCCTCTTGTTTGCATTTCTCAATTCCAGAGCTGCTATCAAACCAGCAACTTTCCACCTCAGCAGCAGAGTGTTGCTGAGAAGCACAGATGCAGCCTTATACTTAAATCCAACTGGAGTTGGTTTTATTTAGATCAGTGGTGGGTATCTCAAGTTCCTGGGGGGCGGTATCCAGCAACTATTAGATCCATCCTTGGTCCAACACACCTGAATCAAATGGCTGAATTACCTCCTCAGTATGCTGTCAGTTCCCCCAGAGTACTCTCAATCATCTAATTACTTGATTCAGGTGTGTTGAACCAAAGGCATATCTAAAAGTTGCAGGATACTGGCCCTCAGGAACTGGAATTGTCCATCCGTGATCTAGATTCTCCTACTGAGGCCCTGTTGTCTGATGCCATACAAACATTGAAGTACTTTGAAGTTGGACACATTTCAAGTAAGAATGGAATCAGTGGTGCAATGGTATCTGGAAAGGCTTCTTTAGGAAGTGTTCTCAAAAGGAAGTGATATTTGGTAAAATTTTTTAAGCTGATTGAGTAAGTCACCGTGACACCTGCCTCCCATTTCAGGCTTTTAGCCAATAGCAGCAGCAATAGCTGTGATGTATCATATTCTTGATTTGTTTAACCACAGACATTCTTACAAGCACTCTTGGTGCAACTTAGACACACCATCAGTGTTGTATCTTTTGTTTATTGGCCCGCAGGTAGGGGCCAGATGTGCTCCACTCAATCCAGCTTGCTTGTAGAGTAGTAATAGTGGAGTCTTGGTCAAGCCCCAGCAGAAGAGATTGGATGGGCTTCCGAGCACATCATACGGACTGTATGGTTAACTTGATCTGGTGTGGCTCAGATCTCCATACTTCTAATCACGAGATCTTCTGATCAGCTGCCTCCTCCCATTGGGTCCATGCACCTTGCTTCCACATCCCTATTGCGGCTGTCCTTCACCCCTGCTTGGACTCCCTCCTAGATCAGCTGCTGTCTTCCCTTTCTCTTGGTGTCTTTGTAGAGAGGTCTCAGATTGCTTTCGAGACCTGCCTGTCCAACTGCCTTTGTTACCACCAGCTTGTTCTGTGTTAGCCACGCCTCAGCCTGATTGACCTCTTGGTAGTCTTCCACAACAAAGTCACCACAGTCACTCCACTTGACTTTGTTGTCACTGGAGTCACTGTACACCAGCACTTCCCTAGTTCGGGTAACTATAAACCCGTTCATCCGACTAATGAAGGGCAGATTTAATGTTGGTCCTCCTGTACAAGGCAACGCAGAGATAACTGATAAATAAAACTTTAGCCAAATCCACAATAAATGTGTGAAATCACAAATCTTGTGAAATTTGATCTTACTTTCA